AAAGGGGGAGACTGGAATATAAATTGCAAGAGCTATATTGGCGTATTGAAGAGATGTCATCATTCTCTCACCCATTCGAGCGACAAACTTTTAAAATTCTGTCGGCCACTCGTTCATGTAAATCGTCAATCTTGTCGCCCATACCGGGTCGAAAATTGATCTTATAATCCAATCCTATGCAAAGACTAATTTATTGTTTTTTTTTTTAAAACGAGATCATTGGAAATGGGGGAAAAACGGTTCAAAGATAAGTTACCCGTTCCAAATTGTAAAAACATTTCGTTGCAATGTTCTGGCATTCAATTTATCATCGGTCAAATATATTCCAGTAGATAAACTTGCGAGAAAAGCAATTCTACGAACCGAAATTCTCGTGATGGATGCCATTTTACGGAAAATTGAGTGTGGTTAAGATTTACGTGATCAAACAGGCTGATTATAAATACCTGTGTGGAGCTACCACTAAAATAGAAAAAAATTTATGGCGTATCATTTTTTGTACACACGATTTAATCGGGAGGAGTTTGATGCCAGATTTCTTTTCGTTTATTTTATTACCGTCGAGAGCGTAAAGAAGAAGAAAAAACAAACTAAAAAAAAAAAGAGAGAGAGAGAGAGAGAGAGAGAGAGACGAAAGAGGTGCAGTATCAAAGCACCGAGGAATAATAAGTTGAAAATTTAGAACCATTCTGAATTTTACAAAAGAATATACGGCATTAAAGCTTTTATAGATCTATCTATCTCGTTGCCAAAGTTGTTTTATCTGTCCGGAATTAGTTTGACCCTCCCAATTCATAATATTTTGTTATTACATATAACTTATTACAAATTCGCGCTAAATCATACTCCCGTCCTCTGCGTATTGTAAATATTATGGATAACGAATCACGTAAATTTTATATCATTTATTTTGCTCATATCGATTTCACTTACGGTTGATGCGCATCACATGTTGTGCTTTGATAATTTACGATTTGCAAAGTACGTATACGTATCTACAATATTACTTTCTAAATGACATGTAAAGAAGAAAGGGATTAATCAATCCGAGTAGATTTATCATCATCATCAATAAAAAAAAAAAATGCAGTGGAGATAATTTCTCTTTTAAAAATAGTCTGAAATCAACATCACACCACTGGTATGGCGGTATGAAATCCGGCTCCTAAGATCACCTTATCAACGGAAAGAATCATTTCGGCTGTCCATTCATTGGTGAGAATAAACATCTGGTAATTATCAAGCGTTTTTTAATCGCACAGTGAGATAAATTTAGATCTCGCCATTTAATATGAATGTATAAAGAGAATTTTTATAATATCATATGCGTGCTATAGTGTGTGCGCATTGAGGTTTTTTAAAATTATAAATAAACATTCAAGTGTCGTTAATCTAAAACGTGCTATTGGTGACACTTCGTAAAGGATCTTAGTTAAGGCAAACGTAATCATTTATAATAAAACCAACAGCAACCTGTCATTGGAATTCTCGATGGAATCAACGACAAGTCTTTGTTTGATGACTGGTGCATCAACGCGGTCGACGATATCCAATACTCAAGATCTTTAGATGTCTTTGTTTCATTGACGCTAATAAAAAAAATAATATAAAATAAAAATGAATGCATTATAATCAGTGTAATGTGCGCAGGTAATTCACAGTATTGTTTGTTGTGCAGAAGAAAGATCATGCACAGAAAAAAGGCAAAATCCATGAGTGGAATCAATGTTTCAAAATAGTGTTAGCTCGGGTTTTGCCAAGTATTTTTTCCCTAAAACTTCGGAGAACCAAATCAGATAAGGCTGACTCTGGCATTTATTCTGGTTATTTTATTTTAGTTTTATTTTATTTATTTTTATTACATTGTTTAAATGACTATTCATTTACACCGTATTTATTACGCATATTCAGCGAGTTCATAAACCATATGTGGTAATTCTAAATTATAAGTATACTTTTTTTCTTATTTTAGTAACTCTTAATATGTACACAGTGCGGCGGGTTGATGGGGAGGTGCGTCTCGTAAATGCATTAATGCAGGAATGAGATAATGAGATGTTTCGCAAATTTTCCGGCGGAGGTGAATGTCATGGTGAGAATTTTTGGATTCTTATCATATGAATTCGTTTCCCTTAATGACAGATGTTCTCGCGAATTCGTCGAATACGATTTCAAATCCTTGGAAAAAAAAATTTTTTTTTTTTGTTTTGTCTTGTTGTTTTTTTTTTCTCTCTTACTATACGCAAAAATTATTTCTACCATGTGTCAAATTCAACGTTTCAATTATCCTCATCATTGATGATGGCATTAATGTTCATGCGATTATTAATTCCTGATGAGACTCCTCCATGTTCTGGCTCGCTGGTGACATAATTTCTGAATAATCCGGCGTTCAATTTGCTGGAAAAAGAAACCAACTCGTTGACATCCATTTTCGAAAAATCCACAACCTCTGGTCCAAAAATCACGGGCGGATTTTGATTGTTGTAATCCGTGGAATTTGCGATTTTGCCAAGATTGCTTACCAATTCTTCTATACGATTAATCTTGACACTCAAAAAATTAACATAACCGTGGTTTATGTTGCACCTGTCGCAATGACGAACAATGGCAGATTTGGAAGTGGTAGCGACACAGGGATATGTCAAAGATCGATGAGGACGAATAATGTGTCTTCTCGTCACACCAGTTCCTTCTCCGATTGTGTTTGCTCTGCGATTTGAAATTCGAGTTTCAGACCCACACTTGGATTGCTCCACTTTGCAAATCATATTGGAATGAATTTGATTTAAACCTGAGATATGAGATTCTTTTGGAATGTGAATGTTAAAAGGCTTGTTTTTTAATGGGTGTATTTAACGAGTAAATTTTTTCAATACTTGCTGCTGCTGAACTTGGGGATAGATGTACGGTATATATGTAATTTTTTCTGTCGTACAGAGCATCACGGGGGCACTTTCGTCCGCGCTGCGATTTCTGTCGTACAGTATGCATAATACGTCATTGTATGACGTTTCCAGAAGACACAGGAGTGACCCAGTTACTCGTCTTTCGACATCCATCCATGATAATATTATCGGACCACGACATCCTTGGAAATTAAAAGAGTGATAATTTCCATTTGGGTATAAAAAAAAAAATAAAGAAGTTATTCGTGAACAGGGAACGAAACAATGATTATTGCTCTACCGTGGTCGAGCAACTCTTGTCAAGCCGTGGCGTGTGTTTTGAATTCTCCGTTGTGTAAAAATAATGTAATAATAATGTAATATGCTTAATACTGGTAACCAAAGGGCTGGTAGAATATAAACCAATTTCATTATCACAATCCAACTCTAAATATAGACCAATGATTATTGGCAAATCCGGTTCAGTTTACGTATGAGATGCATTGGCCTTGGCATTTTACGTCTCTTCATTGGGCAGCCGAGTTACCTAATTGTGACGTGTTGATAAACTGTTTAGCAAGCCACATATATGCTGCATGTTACACACGTTATTTTTTATTTGGATGAAACTTACATTCTATGTATAACCATTGTACGTATATAGATCCTTTGAAATGAAAATTATTTGGCCCGTATGTTTGCCAACGGTCGGTGCCAGAGTGCTAAAACCAATGAGAATCCAAGTTTGGAAAAATGCGTGCTCGAATGTTCGTTCTAATTTTTTCGAAGATAAATTGCTGTTTGCCGAATGCTGGCAGATCACGCTTCAAAAGGAATATACCGTGTTAACTGTGTTGTTTAGGCCAACTGGCGCGTTATCAAACAAATCGTACATTTGTAAACCAAACACCGGCCTACAGTTTAAATTCCCTAATGAGATATCTTAGCAACTAAAAAGAAAGAAAGAAAGAAACTCAAAATTAGGGCATGGTGTTCACAATGTTTGGTGCTTTCCATTGGGCCTGATGGATTTTTTTAATTCATGTTTACCTTTTACATCTGTAAAATTAGAAAATCGGGGTGTGAAACAATTCATTGAAGTGTCACCTATTCCCGAATAGCTATTTTTACAGTGATATAAAGTGACCAATTTGGAAATTTGAATGCATGTCAAACAATTTTCCGGATTTGAAAAGAAGGAACTTGCGGCGGATGAAAATCAAACTCGTGGTGGATAAATTTTTTGTCCATCTGCTATTATTCTAGGAAATTAGTAGGAAGAACGCGAGGGAAAGTGGGTGCCGCATGTTCGCCCGTACCGTACATTACCCACATACATTGGGCTTGGTCAGTTAGCTTGCCTGTCCTGTAACTGATACATTGTTACCCCAACCTTTTGTGTCATGTGATACATTGATCTCCGCATTTCCATATTAACGGATTTAAATTTACCCCTTGCATTAGAAAAGTTCGTTCGGATCAGCTTTTACCGGAGATTTGCGCACTCGGTAACATTCGACCAAGTTTACCGGATTAGCATATACACGTAAAGAATCAATCTCCACAACGAAATCCCGAGGTTCCTTATGAATAAATTTGGGATGGATTACTAATGACTTTTGTCCAGATTATTCCAGATTCTATTCTCGCGTTGACCGGATATGCAAAACAACCTGAACCTTGTGTTCCTACTATCTTTTTTATGCCACAAGACTTTCTCGTACACCTAGACTGGTATGGCTGTGCCAACACGCTGACTATGGTTTAGCGTTAATCGTAGGCGACCGGAATTATCGGTGTGCATTTTACGCCCGCCACACACAGTATCGGAATCCGTTTCTCTACCGCACATTACAGCGATTACGTATAGAATGCGTACTTGCATGAGCATATTCTCTGTCGTCAAAATGTAACAAAACGTAAGAAACAAACATCACGACTTCTAACTTTTGAATGGACGATAAAAATGGTTGATTGATTTAATTATTACAGGACATGGAGATTGTGTAAATGACGTTTACATAAATGTCATTGTGACGTTGTGCAAGGCCGAAAATCACAACGTGAGCTAAACCACTACCGTCTTCTTCTCATACTGTGTATAATGACGGTTTGATATGAAGACACACGCATACCGTATGTAACAGGGTTAGAACGAAAGAAGGATTAGCGTCAGTTACATGATGTGTGCATACAGCACAAGTAACCTACGATCGCCAAAACGATCACAACCAGAAAACCCTGATTATCTCCAAAACGCGATTGAAACGAATCCACACCTGATTTTTTCTTCTCGTTCGTTTCCACCGAATCCACCTCGCCTCCTGCTTGCTCTCGCCTTTCCAACTCTACCCTGGACTTCCTCAATAATGCTTCAAATTCATCATTTATTAATTCGGTGACACGCGCCGATATGTTTGGGTAGTTGGGCATTACGTCATTGTGCACTGCACACGTTATTTTGCCATCGTGGCTTATGATGCCTATCGCGAAACCTATTCAAGAGCAGCAGCGGAATTGATGAAACAAAGCGCCACGGAATTTTCGCGTGAAAATATTGTGAAATGCTTTTTCCACTTACCACCCGGACAATTTTGAGGTGGTATCACCGCAAACTGGATCACCTTTTGTCCGGCGACGGTCAGAGAACGCATAGGTCCCTATCATTAATGGCGTTTATAAGAGGCGATCATAATCTCTTTTGCGCATAAAGAACGAAGGAACAGAGCTATGCGTGCGGTAGAAATTATTAGACCCTTGACTCGATTCTTCAAAATCACACCTTATAGTGACCCGATCAATCGCACCAAGGGACCCACGAATTTCTGCTACTCGTGCGTATACGTAGATGAAAGTTGAATACTTACAGGGACATTTGTGATCACACCATGTCCGACTGCTTCCATGGCTGTCATCACCTTTTTGTTGTAAACTCCGGGGATTGGAAATTTCTCAAGGAAAATATAGTTGAACTTTGTGACAAGGCTACGCTTCAACTTGTTCATTTCCCGATGAACGCACTTTAGCGATTCCTCGACGGTCAGCTCCTTCATTGGGATGAAACTCCATCCACCTACATCAAATAATCGATCACTCCCTATAAGAACGACTCCTCACGATAATACATAAGACGAGTTGGAAAAGAGGTGATAAGAAAGGCACAAACCTGTGGATGCATTGTTACACTCCCAATTTGTTGAAACTCGCATGGACATTGGGATGAACATCATCAATTCCTCATCCAAGACACTGTTGATCTCGGAAAGGTATGCACGTATGGCACGGGTAATAATTGTCACCTACAGGATGAAATCATCGGTTCAGGTGATAAGTTCGATGGAGATTTATGTCACGGGTGCAAAACGTCGCATACCATGACATCGTTGAGTGATACACCGTAGGCTTTACGCGGAATCGCGATATCTGTGATTCTTATCTCCCTCGTCCAACTTAAAGTCCTCTTGTCAGAACCGTCGTCTCCTTTGTATAACAAACTTTTCCTTGTTAAAGACATCTTCATTATTTTAAATTGGTCCACCATGTCCAGCCAAGCGTAACCAAGGGTTGAACATAGGGCGAGCAAGGCGTTAAGAAAGAATGCGTATATGATAATCAAAAAATCGGGTATTTTGTCCGCATATGGCTCGAACGCGCGGCACCTCAATAACGGTAACTCCGAATACTTTGGCTTAGATGGCGGTGGCATTCTGTCCTTGAAAAACTTCATCACGTCCGACAATTGCTCATCGCCATCCGAGGTCAAACCCATGATCGCGTGCATACATCCCTGACCATCGGCGATGCAATGGTGAGCTTTGATGACCATTGCCGAACGTTTTCCTCCCTCCAACCCATAGACAACATATGTTCTCCATAAAGGCCTATCGAAACTCATCTTTTCGGATATACGTTTGGACGCATACTCTCTCAACTCCTCGATTGTGCCAAGCGATAGATTCCATGTTTCAATGTTATCACATGCGTCAAAATCCTCAACCTCCTGCCACATGTGCCTCGACCAAAATGACCCGCCATGCACAATGGACCTGAAGCGAGGAAACTTGACGATCAATTTCCTGAATTCCGATCGAACCAATTCGATATCCACGTTGCCTTCAAACACCCAGACAAGCGATATCACCCATGGGTAATTTTCATCCTGTAATTAAACAATAAGTTTAGCATTGGTATCGAGATACGATACAGATGTCATTGCGCA